TTTCTTTCCTGTTTTAGAATTCCACATCCTGGGTGCTGACTAATCTGGCAGCTGTGTATTGGCGGCGAGCAGGCAACGCCGTGAATGCCCTGAACTGCCTCCGGGTGGCGCTTCACCACTCGGACCACAAAGTCAAGGTATGCCGTCATTCACCATTGAATTTGACATCGAAAACTCGTGGTAGATTTCTTTTTCCATTTTTTTTCTCTCTCAAAGCTGGGTCAGAGTTGATTAAATGGTAATATTGAGATTGTTTGGATGGTCCTCTTGTCGGTTGCATAACTGAGGTGAAATTCCAAGTCGGAACCTCAGAATACACTTTTTTAAAGGAAGACCGAAGGCGAATTAACAGTCGTCCGTGAGTTTTCCTTTTCAACTTTTGAAATGGGGGGGGGGAGCGAATGGACTTCCCCTGGGGTGGGGGCACATACCCCTATATTTACACCACTGCTCATTGTTCATCCGACCCTCTCTTACCAGGACCTTGCCCTCATCAGCATAGCCAACATATTCCACCGTTCTGGCCTGATCGATGACGGGATCACGGTGGCCCAGATGGCGTGGGAGATCTCCAGAGAGTTTGTGCTCTGTCAGTTCACCCTAGCCAACCTCTACGCCGCCAAGGTGAGTAGGGTTACTACGGAAGAAACAGGCGATGTTTGAGCGATGACCATTTCTCAACCACTGCTCAATTTGACGGGTATCCGGGATGTACTTTTAGCACGGGCTACCAGGGAAAAGTGACCGGTGGTCGATGAACGGCCGTGGCTTGAACTTTTCTTAAGGTGCACCAGCTGTGGATGTGTGAGGCAACACCCTTACTGTGGAGGTACCCATGATGGTGAGGCGAGAGTGGATTTTGACACGGCAAAACAACCTTGGTTGAATTACGCGCTTAATACGTGTTTGCGACCTGTGCTTGAGTGGTACCACAAAAACATAAGTGCATTTTGGGGTCTCGTTAACGCACTCATCAATGTCCGTGCAAAAATATTTACGTCCCACAAATCAAGAAAGGAGGCCCTTTTTACAAAGATGCCGACCCTTGTTTCACACTGCGCATGGTGGCTTAGTGTGTTGTGCGTCACTGCTGTTGAAATGACAAAAAGGCTTTTGTGGTGGCCCCTGTGACCAAGTCTGATAAGTGACCATTATTTTGTTGACCAGTGGTGGATTTTAACTGGTAACCTATGCATAAAATATATTCGGGGTACCAGGCAAAATCGACCAATGGCTGATAACCGGTCACTGATAGAGATTGGCCTCTGCCTAGGGCCCGTATGAGTCATTTCAGTATGTACAGTTTGCCCTTCTCTTCTGCCATCGACGCTCTCGTGAGGAAGGTCCACTCTCGTTCTTACCTGAGGTTTGGTCAGGGAAACCTCTGCAGTTGATGAGTTGATGAATTTCTTTTGTTCTCGCCTGACAGGGCCAGTTCAGTAAGGCCATCCAGCTGTACGAGTCTATGCTCATCGTCAATTCGTCCTTCGGCCCTGCCGAGGAGCGGCTCAAGACCATCAAGTGTGCCGTTCTGCAGATGACCAAGGGCAACCCAGCATCCATGCTGGGCAAGTGATGACTGAGGGATCAAATGTTGTTGTCAGTGCCGATAACCCAACTGGGAAAGCCGTCAGACTCACATTATTCCGAACCAACGAATAACTAAGTTGGTGCCACTTAATTACAACACACAGGCAAGGCCGCAAACCAGGTCATAGGACAGGTCACTAGTCAGGTCAAAGGGCAAGTCACTAGTCAGGTCACAAGTTGGCATGTTCCAAAAAACAGCTTGCTGTTCCTATTCCAAAGGTTAAAGGTCATCACCGGTGCCCACTGTTACAGTGAACGACCTCCTCACAAATACCTTAAATCTATTTTACAGTGTTAAAGTCAAATTATTTTTCCCAGGTCAATATTTAGCCACAAAATGTTGAAATATAAATTTGTCAGTTCTGTTTTTCCATGGTAAGCATTCATGCCGTGTTTTTTGGAGTCTCATTTTGGCATCCGAGACAACTCCTTGGCATAGTGTAATGCAACTGTAGACGAGAGCTGAAATGCATTTAGTACTAGCTTTTTAACATGCCTAAAGGCCACTTCGTACTACAGGCGAATGTGAAAGTGACGGTAATTTGACATCACGAAAGATTTGGTGCTGAGTTTCTTCGCTGACGTCGAAATGTGTTGAACTTTTGCAAATTCGCAGCGCAAATATTTGAGCCTACGTCACAAATTCGCATTTGCGCTTGCTTTCGCTCTTAGTAGGGTCGGCCTTAACTCTCAGGCTGATTCCTGAGATGTGCTGAAACTTCATAGACTTTGCTGAATACCAAGCGAAGGCTACCAGGCAAAAGCCCTGTGTTTACCCCGCTAGTAACTGGTTTCCAGTTCAACGCATGTGCTTAGTACTGAAATTTGCCAAATGCCCAAACTATTTGCTTAGCAATAAAGAAAACAGGTTACCTGCCAAAGTACACTGTAATGTGTCGTGCATGTGACTGGTTCCCCGCCTTACAATGAGTAATGTTTTACTGCAGTTGTTATAAGTGCAGGAGGTGGTTTTTGTACCGTAAACTGATCATGCTATGTCCAACTGCATTGCACAAAACTCAGTACTGGCACTTAAGATGGCAGTAATGTCTGGCGATGCTAGAGGGGGCACTTTATTGACCAATCTCGAGAGCTGTTCATGGAGAGAGTTGCAACGTGAGCGCCTCAACTGTTGGAAGCAAAATGGTGGCTTATGCATCGATACACGTGGGCAATTAGCACACGACAGCCTCATGCTGTACTGCACAGACGATGAACAGCCATTTTGGTTCCAAAGTCTGAAGTTGGCACTACTCTCCTTATAAAAAGGGGCCACTTTCATAGAGCTGCTTAAAAGTACAAAATTTGCTTAAGCGCAAAAAAACCCTTGCTTAAAAAGCAAAGGTTACCAGCTCAAAATCTATGTGATTGTCATGCTAACCAAAAGACAGGTGAATGCCATTCCAAAACAATATGCGTCACAAGAAGTTTTGGCTGGTAACCTGATTTGTCAGGCAAAGTTCGTTCACACTTAAGCAAATTTTGTGCTTAAGCAGCTCTATGAAATTGGCCCCAGCTCTTCCAATTCCACGTCCCAGTTCAGCTGACAAAGCTCGAACTAATCATTTCTGAATGGCAGGACTTGGATGTGGAACAGTAGCTGCCGTAACAAATTCATTCAAATACCCCCCCCCCAACAATGACAGTTGCTAGGTGACAAAGCGCCCTCTCTTGTTTACAAGCAGATACCACATAAATGCAATTCCCCTCCGCAGATGTATACACCGCCCTGTGGTGACTCAGAATGTAGATTTTTTTTTTGTAACATCTTTGTTGAGATTCACTTCTCAACTTAAGGGTTCTGTCCTGAGCCTTCTTCTTCCCACACTCTTATATTTGTGTCCGGAGAATAAGTGGGATTGGAAAAGTTGACTTAGCAATATAAAAAGTCACATATTTTTATTGTACATGTAACTTCTTTTGGAAGAGGTTTGGGCAGTTTGGGGCTGTTCAGGACCACTCCTCCATTTTTAGGCCGTTTTGCTGAGTTATATAGAAAATCATGAAAATTATTCCATTTCTTTGTTTGAATAATGTGCACAGATGACAAAAGTCTCACCTTTTTGGTATTTTAATTTCAACTTTTATTGTGTTTTTTTGTAATCAATATTTTAAAAAGGTGAACACTGTTTGAAACGGTTCAATCACCACGTGATAAGATTTATTCTTTTGTTAAAAAGACTTCTATTTTGTATAACTTTATAGCAAAGTATTAAAAGATGTCACATTTTAATCATGTAAACCGTGTTGCAATTTTATTGTTGTCTACACATCCGACTTTATTGCATTTTCCATTTTGAAAAAGAACATTGATTCTTGGAACGATCCTGTGCAAACAATAACATTTGGGTTGCCCAGCCTGCGCGCCAAATCATTCAACATTTCCTGGTAGACTTCCTCTTTTTTACCCGGAATTTTGCCAACGATTCACCGCGGTTCTTGAAAATGCGCATCAAGCTTTGTTCGAAGTTTTTTTTTTAATTTTGCCGAAAATATCCTATAGTAAAAGTATAGCAGGTGTGCGTTCGTACACGCGACTATTATTCAAGGGTGAATGGATCACTGGATTTCGCTTATTGTTTCCCATTTCAGTCTCGTCCTTCGTGTTAGAAAAAAATTCAGTTGCGGTGCAGGGTGAGTAAATGGTAATAAATGTAGTTTAAATTCCAGATACGGGAGTCTCAGTTGCGTCTCTCAAACGGAACCGGATCTTTACTGCGTAAATAAAATGACAGCACTTAACTTGCTGCAGTCTGCACCGATTACAACCTCTACTTAACCGCCCTCAAATCTGAGCACAATCTCTTACGTGACATGAAAATAAAAAATATTCTTAACCTGAAAAATCCCAAGTCGCCACCCTCACCCCGACCAAAACTCCTATTGTGGATGTTTCTTCTTTTTTTCTCGAAAAGTGGTGGAATTTTGTGGTAAAATATTGATAACTTTTGACGGGGTGACTTGTAGCGAGTCTATTTTTAAACTTTTTTTCCCCGCAGCTGTTCAACTGGTTTCCGGCCGAGTTACCTTTCTCCTTTCCAGTTTGCGTAGGAAAATCTGATGTAGTCAGGCGCCCGGAAATATATCAGGGATTGTCTTTACTTGATACCACAGTTACCAGACAAAGGAGCGGGTACCAGCATAGTTAATTCGCCCTCATCTATCTTCTGCCCGTACGTATCATGTCAACAAGGATCACGCCATTCAACATGTTCAAAGCCACAAAAGCTTGATGAATGGCATAAATGAGTGGGGGACTATTTTCAAAACTACAGATTGCAAACAAAGCTAAACCTGTGAGCTCATTGATAAATTGATTGTGCGAGACTGAATTCATCTGTTTTGGCTGTCGCACTCATCAAGGTTGACACCTTGTTTGTATTCCAGGCTGTAACGTTAGGCTAGCAGCAGTGACTCACCGAAGTTCGTACACTCCAGTCTCAGACACTCACGACACCAGTCAGTCACTGCGGGATATCGCGCAGTAGGCCCAGCAGTCAAATTTTGGACGTACGGCTGCGCTGGCGACACAAGCTGCCCTGATTATGTAGGTCTCTGCACAAGGTTCAGCAAAAGTCAGCTGATTTTAGTAAGTATCAAAAATCGCTGTGCTTTTTTTTTTTAGGCTAGTCACAGATTTGGAAAGAACGTTGAATCCTGCCTCCACCTTTTCACGATCCCATTCATCATGTTCATGAATTTGAACAAAGTTAAAGGTCAGTAATGAAGGAACTGAATTTTTTTTCAATTTTTCTTTGAAAAATACATTGAAATGCACGGAACTTTCCTTACACATTGTACTCAGCATAGGACATGAACACCATAGGACATGGACATGTTCTTTTTCTGCAGATATGTTGGACATAAATTAGGTAGTCAGCACTCGACATGCTCGAAGACCAATCGATGGAGACTTAATGAAGGTTTTGACATAGGCCTACATGTTCAGTGTTGACCTGGTGCAAAGGCCGGGAAGAGTTCCATATACGGACGCGAGTAATTAATCCCTACGGTGACCTATTGACCATCAGAAAGCAAAAACATGTCCAGAAGAGTTCAATTCAGGATGTAAAATACAAAGTCATTTGCCTAAAAACACTTAAAATTTTCAGACCAGTTTCATAGGGTTTGTGCACGGGGTGTCAAATGGTGTCTGTACATGTACATGTATGTGGAACTCTTTCGCAAAGGCCTGCGTAATTTCAAGCTGTTCTTACTCTGGCCATCAAATCCATGATTAACATCAAGCTTTCTGGCTTTTCAGTTTGCGGGTTGTTTGCACGTATTTACACCTCGCTTATTATATTGGCTCAGGACCTAATCCGCTCATTGAATTCAGAAAATTTGCAAGGAAAAATCTGAAATGCTTCATGTACATGTACAATTAAAAAAAAAAAAGATTCATTGTCGATATTATACGATGGATGTTTTTCTGTTCTTGGTTGTAGACTATTGATCTTTCGATCACAGTTTCAGTAACAATAGAATACATACATAGATGTACATACCCGTATACCGGTATGTACAGTACATGTTGTTGTTGTTTTGTTTTAATGGCGCTTTCAGCAACTCAGGCTATTTGCGCCAATAGCTGTACGTTTTTTTAATCAGCCTCACATTACGGAGTTAGGAAGAAGGTCCAGTTTTAGAGGCAGGAGGAAACCGGAGCACTTGGAGAAAACCTGCGAGAGCGAGTATGGACATGAAACCAAATACACTTAAAGCCTGGGCCAAGCCGGGACTCGAACCCGGGCCTCATTGGTGCAAAGCGAGGAAAGAACCGCTACGGTACCCGCTCCCCCCTCACATGTACATTGAAATGTGTGTAGAAGTGCAGATACATAGCTGCATGAGGTTAGGGTTAATTGCCTGAGAAAAAAAGAAAGAAAAAAAATAGATAACTATATTGATAATAGCGGTTCAGTATACATGTAATTTGTACCTGTTTTTTGCCTCTGCTGTAAAGCCGTAGAATGTATTCATTGTGTCTGAGATCAGATATGGGTATACAGTCCCACTTCACTGAGAACCAATCAAGAGAGATCATGTACCACCCAACAGTGCACCTGAGCCATGCACAGTGGCCGAGAAATGTGACACATTGTGGCCTTACCGTTATGAATATGATCAGTGTGTTCTGGCTTAGATCATGCTGAGAGGAGGCATCGGGTTTAACCCTGGGTCCCAAAGATGGCTTGTTATTGGCCCCTGCATTGTTGGTCTGTGGTTTTATGGCAAGCTACACACCTGCCATATACCACACTCCAGTGATTAGATGTCTGAGGGATTTATGCGGATTGAGTTGGAGGGTGCTTGTACAAAATACATGTACCTGTACATTGTACATGTGTTTAAGATGCTGGTACTGTACATGTACATGTATACATGTACCGTACATGTACAAGTGTAGAAGAAATGTAAATCACTTTATTACTGTAGAGCTGCTCTGTGATCTCTGTGGCATGCTTTGTGGAACAGAATACAAGAGAACTTGGCTGACAGTGCATGTACAATGTACATGTATCAATTATAAAGTGATATTTTATTGTACACGGAAGCCAGCTCACCGTGCAAAGTCATATTAAAGGAGCTCAAAAAGACTCTAATTGATTGGTAAAGGGAATCTGTGATGCATAGATATTCATGACCCAAAAAGGTGATATGTAGTAAATCGTGCTATTCCCTTGCAGTGGTCTGCTTTAAGTTGAGGGGGGGTGAAATGTCTAACAGAATTTTTTTTGTTTATCTTTAAAGTTACAGATTTTATGAACAGATAAGTCCAAAGAGAGCATGTTGGTTGCTGGGAAGATTCAGTAACTCTGTGTTAGACTCAACTTGTTCTAAGCCCGTTTTCTCAGTTGTGTTACAAGTTACAACTTGAAGTTGAACTCTGTAGAACCAGCTTGATGTGTCTTCTCAATGCCATTAAATTTAAAATCCAACTCACAGGTAGTTTGGAACATGCATGGCCAAATTTGACAGTGTAACAGAATACAATGGCATTTGAAAGCCTCTGTATCATGTGCACCTGTAGGCCACCTGTTACAAAGCCCTTGGCCAATCGCGGGGCGGTGGGTCACACCTAGAAATTGAAGTACTGCGTGGCTGCCATGATAAAATTACAAACTGGACCTGCATGTGAGTTTGCATACCAGAACATGTACATGTACACCTCTAGCATATTAGAGAAGCCCTGACAGTAAGTGGTTTATGTACATGTACATATGTACATGTACTATCAAATTTGTGTGTGAACTTGTATAGCCTGTCCAGTGAGCATGTAAATTGTAAGACATACGTACATGTACATGTACACCTACTGTCCATGTGCCATAGCATGCGCATACTCATGTACGTGTATTTTGAATACATTTATTGACAGGTGATGTCACCACCACTAACCAAATTATTGGCTAAATAGGCCGAACATTTTGCAGGCACGAATTTTGATTTTCAGTTGTGCAAAGGGAGAAGGTTGAATTCGTAAGGTGACTACTACCTGTAGGGTACATGATGTACAGTACATTAGAGCTTTTACTTTAAATTTCAACATGAAATCCGTGACTTATGGTTGCATGTGTGTTAAATACACTGTATATGGATTTCTTACTTTTTGACCCTTTGTTTTGTTGGTAAAGTACTGGGGCTTTGAAAGGAATGTGTTGTGACCTCCAGTCGGAGTTCAAGTCCCAAGCTACACATGTTCAAATGTTACTTTCGGCCCTTATTTGTTACTGGTCTTATGACTGGTCTTGTAACTGGTCTTGTAACTGGTCTTGAGTCTGGTCTTTTGTCTGGTCTTGTGTCAGGTCTTGTGACTTGTCTTGTGATTGGACTTGTGATTGGTCTGGGGACTGGTCTTGTGTCAGGTCTTGTGTGTGGTTTTGTGTCTGGTCCTATCTTGTGACTGGCCTTGTGTCTGGTCTTCTTTCTGGTCTTGTGTCTGGGTTTGCCAATGGCCTTGTGATGGTCTGGACCATAATACTGCTGGTCGGTGTTGTGTATGAATTCAGTTGGCCTTGTCATGAATATGTATCCTTGGTGTCTTACATGTATGTGGGACAAAGCATGAATCTCCTTGGGCCATTCTTAATCTTATGAATGGTAGTGCTGCAGATAATGAACGGCTTCTGGCTTGGGACAAAGTACAGGGTGTGTCTGAGTTCCTGGCCTGTGACAGGATGTGCTCTGCTGCCTGCTGCTTCAACAAGGAAATGATTAAGCTGGTTTAGTTAATGTTTACAAAACTGGTCAATTATTTTCACCTGGTGAGACATTAGTGGTGGGCTGGCTCAAATGGAGTTAATTAAAGGGGTAGTTTGAGTACATGTAATGGGATATGTGAGTGATTACCCTGTGTTATTCATCAGGGACTTAATCAGAAAAATTATTGTAATCTTGTACAGCTGTACACCTGCACAATTGTGAATCACATGTTTGAGACCGGTTGAGGATCGATTGCCTCAACCTTTGGTTAAAATTTTAAGAATGTTGTGCCAGGCATGTGTTGGAATACTTTTACAAGTGAGTAGTATTCGTGTCACTGGTCCCTATGTGTACTAAGAGCTGTACGTGTACCGAGTACATGTGCATCTAAAATGGTAAATAAATGGTAGAAAAAATGGCTAATTGCCTGCCCCCATAAGCACCATTGCCATGTTGTGATCTCCTGTTGCTGCATTCAGTTTAGATGGCAACACTGCAGATTTGTGCACATTCAGCTGAAAAATGGTCATATTTAAATATACATGTACATGTGTACCGTTACAGTGTACATGTAGTTGACACCATTCTCCTACTCAAACCAGTGGATGCGTGCTGTGCTTTGTCCCTTGATTGTTAGGGATACATGTACATGTATGTACGGGTACATGGTCCGGTACATGTGACACATGTACATGTGTATATGTCATGTAGTACATGTTCTAGTATGTTGGTTAGTGTAGTGCAAGTCACATTGATCATGTCAAAGTGGTGCAACGCTCTGCAGGTGTGCTAGCGCGCATAGACCGCATGCACTTCCCCCTCTCCCCTCCCCCCCAACTGCAGGAAGTACGTGTACCTTTTAGACTGTCTTTTGGTCGGAGGAACCACAGAGGAATTTCTCAGTGGGCAGCCGAATGTGATAACCAAACAAAGCCAGGAAAGCATTGGCGGGCTGGATTTACCAAAGATGAGGGTCTGTCACAAGACCAAATGTTGTAGCTTCATGGCCTGCATACCGGTACATAATGGCATGTGACATCGGCTTGGATTACAAGTGCACTCTCGGATTCAATGAGACTACATGTACAGTACAGCACCGGTAGGCCAACTGCCCGGATTCTTGCCATTCTAAAAAAAAAACCAATCCATTTTATGACGTACAATTGTACATGTACCTTCCGTGTACGTGTGTGTGCAGTGTTACCGTGTGTAACTGGCTGTCCAGAAGAAACTTGATGCATAATTAAGCCTTTTGCAAATTAACTTTGACCCAAATCTGGTACACTGAGTTCTTTAAATTCACGTGAACATAACAACAATTCTCCTTACTAAAACCAACGTTGCTATATCTTGTGATTCGGGGCAAGCTTTTGCGTAGTTACACAAGAGACGCCTTGCAACAATACACTGTTCTCAATGGATAAGAAAGGTACGAAGGAACCAGTCCATGCCAGAGGTGGTGGTCGCTATGCGAAAGCTTGCCCTGAATCACGAGGTATAGGAACAGTGTCTTTAGTCTGGGAAATTTAAATCGTAATGTTTTGTGCAGTCAGATTTGTAACTCAGTGCACCAGATTTTATTCAAATTTAACTCGCAAATGGCTTATTAGGCCAAACCTACATGTACTTACCCACCATATCTACCGGTACTATGTTAATTGAGTGGAGAATTCAGAAAAGTTTGAATTTCGAGTGGAGTGTTCCACGTCAGCTTGGTTATTCCATAGAACTAGGAAACACTTTGGCAATTCTGTGACCTGCACAGAATTGCCAAAGATTCTATGTACAGCATTTATGTATCAGTACATGAAGGCAGGCCTGCCATGTTGACTACACATGTTCAGTATGTGTGTACATGGACATGTGTACATCATGCAACTTGTGTACATGAGTGTCCTCTTTGCACACGTACGTACATGTGATGGTTAGGCAGATATTACTTTCAGTATTACAGTGGTTTCATTTTGGTTTTACAAAGTGCACAGTGCAGTAACCACCACACTCTTAGAAAGGGGATCGGGGAGATTTCGCTTTGCATGAAGTGCTGTCAACCCCCCCTAAAAAAAAAAGGTTTAAAGTTGTAAATCTAATAAGTATGACAGTCCACACCATCAGTTTTAAGTTCTGGGTAGGCCACATTTTATTACATGTACAGTGCTTGTGCGTATTTTGCCATTTGCAGGAAATATTTTTCAAAGGAGCAGTACGTGAGATTAGGAACCAGACTACCAGCACCAGTCATGCCAGTACAGTCTCCTGCTACGGTACATGTACTTGACATACTGTACATGTACCGGACCGGCAGGTTGAACCATGTTGATTTCCGAGGAAACGGCATTCATGAGTGTGTGTTTACATGCATAAGTAATAGAGCGCTGCAGGTGCAGGCATGTGAGAATGTTACGCAGTGTGCGGCAGCCATGCAGTCACTGTGTATCCTGAAGGTGTCTTGTACATGTAATTAAGTATGGGAGGCGTGCATTTCTTAATGGGCAGACTCTTTATTTTTGACGGCAGAATTTGCCTGCCGGAATAGTTGTACGAAACGTGTACACTGTACCTGGCTAATTCCAGAGATCAGGGGTCCATATGTGTGACATTTTTGTGTCCCTGTTACATCTGACCTTTGTTATTTGACATGGAAATGTCACCGGAATTGATTTCAAACTATTCCTATTTGTTTGGCAGGTAACTTGCATTAATCCGTCACTCTTGGAAATTGGAAAATGTGGTCTCAACTTACAAAATCGTTTGCCCGATGTGACAGGGACATGAAGAAAGTGGCCCCTTAATTTCCGGAATTCCCCACTAGCACATTGCACCATACTGCACATACTGTATAGGTACATACAATATATCCTGGTATGGGTGAACCGTACATGTACATGTTCGTGTCTCTCATTTGATTGACCAGTTTCATTAACTCCAACAAGTGCACACGGGTACCGGTACATGTACAGTACTTGTTAACGTTAACTTGTAAAATACCGTATAGTTTGTCCTTTCCTTGTCTACATGTATACATGTTTGGCCTCAGACTCTATGATGACTGTATAAGGCCAGTAGTGGATTCTTTTCATTTGGTTCAATGACCAAAATGGCCCTGGCCCAGAGATGAAGCACTTAAACCTGTGAAATGAAAGACCTCTAATCTAATCAAAACTCTGGTTTTACAAAAGCCGGGAGCGGATCCAGCTTTCCTGTTTTTTGGTTTTTTTTGGAACACCCAAACAGACAAAAGATGACCAATTTTCCCCGCCCCCCGACTTCTTTCCTGTTTTGTCTGATGACGTCCGTTTAATGAAAAAGCACAAAGCTTATAAAAATCTAGTACATCGTCGACAAGTGGGTGGCCCAGCGTACATGTTCATGTGTACATACATGTACATGTACATAGGTACATGTAGTTTTAGGGAAGATGCGGAAAAGTGTGGAGCTTCTGGCTTGAGGCATTGGTTTGACCTGTCCATTTGAACCTTTCATTTCATTTGCCAGTGTTTGCCCCAGCCACTAAGCTACAAATGCATTACATGTACTCTGTATGTTTCAATGTGATAGATTAGACTACATGTACATGTAAATACATGTACATGTTGGTACGTGTTCATGTACCTGTGTAGTACACAGGTACATACATGTACAGTGTTATGTACATGTATATCAGGGTTTCCGCCACCTGGAAGAGTCATGAAAAAGTCATGGAAATTTGTTTTCCCTTTCCGGGCCTGGAAAAGTCATGGAATTTTGTAATAGTGACTAAAGTCATGGAAACGTCATGGAATTTTTCAAATACTGTGAGTGATTTCTGTTCTCAGAAAAATCCCTACATGTAAGTGCATAAAATGTCCTGAATGTGCAATTGTATTTGCAACTTAAAAGGCCCATATGAGTGTTTAACTTTGTGTGAATGGGGAAGGTTAGGGCCAGCAATCCTTGGGGGGGTTAGGGTTAAAATTAGTTTGCTGTTTGTTTACTAGTGGGAGTGGCCCTTATGGTTAAGGTTTGTAACTCTTACTCAGAATGTCAGAGGTCCAAAGCCAGTTGCTGTCCATAAGTTGTGGCCTTAGGCAAGTCCCTTCACCCCTCGTACTTCTCTCACTGGACTCAGCAATGTGGGTCTCCACACTACCGGAGGAACGACTTCCAGTGGACTGACATCCAAAGCAGGAGAAACGAAAATAGTCTCAGTCTTCTCATGCTCGGGAAAGGGATGAACTCCTGCCCGATAAGCCGAAAACAGCTTCAAAGCAGACTCGCTCTGTTCGCTGATTGTGTTTCTTTGAATTTTGCCCCTCCAAAAAACGGATGTTTTTTTCTCTCGCTCCTTCCAGACTTTCCATGGTGACATCGTGAAACAGCGGCCTTCCTTGTAGCTTCATGCCCTGAGGGGATGATCACGTCCAGCAACAACATGGCGGCTACCACGGGCGGGGTCCGGTATTCCTCCCACACCTACGACAAGGTCACCAAGGCCAAGGTCACGCTGGAAAACTTCTACACCAACCTGTGGTGTCAGAAAGAGGAGAGACTCAACAGGTAATTTTCAAGATGTATTAGTGCAGATGTTAAGACATCTGCACTAGTAAGCAGGAGGTCGTGGGTTCG